CCGCACGGCCACATGCCACACTCCCCCCCACGGTTGCAAGCCATGCCCCTGCACAGCCGGTCACCATGGTGGGGACCACCTCGGCCCCCACCTCTGCCTGTCCATCTGTTTGTCCTAAGGTTCTGGGCTGCGCATGCACAGCTGGCCCAAAGTGTTATGGACAGACAGACAGCAGCGGTAAGGCTTTTTTTATATTAGAATGTATAAATTTTCCACATATAGAATCTAAGTGGGGGTCATCTTATATTCGAGTAAATGTGTTATCTGTAGGGTGTTTTTGTGGCTGAAAGTTTGCAAAGAACTTTTTTCCAACTATTTAGTTGCTCTAATAAAAGATACCACATCTACCTAAACAACTGCATCTGCAGGCCTGCATTTACCCTATAGGGATGACTAAATTGTGATCGTCTTGTTTCATTTCAGAATAAATTAAGTTACTGTGGTTTAGCTTCCATTTACTGCTGGATTAAGTGAAGGCATATGGGCAGTTCTGTGGAGTAGGTGATGCACACTAAGTCCCCATCTTGTTTTTAGCTTACTGTATTTGCTCACTTGGCTCTTCCTCAAGACTGCTTCTAAAATATTGTATTTACATGTTTTAAAGTCTGCACACAAACATGCAGTTTATCAGATTACATTCAAATGCTGCCAAACAGAAGAAAAACTAACGTTCTTGTTGACAGTTACTCTGCAGTCACCATGAAACTATGCAAGTTCAATATTGATGAAGAGGCACCTACAAGTAATTTGCAGTGCTAAGTGAGATAGATATTACTTGAAATAACTTTACTTTATGTATGGGGGTAGAAATTAAAACAAACACAAGTAGCCATGATGCTCTCAAACCCTAAGGATACTTTCTTTAATGTATACTCACATCCTGCACAAGAACAGTTTGTGAGTAAATTTAACTGATGGTCTGCATTTAATGAACATGGAAAAAGTACAGTGAATAAAATCTGGGATTTCACATTTTTAGTTTGACATTTTTCTCTTATGCAGGCCTGTACTTTCATCCATACCCAAGAGTCATGCATAAAATTTCAAAGAAGTACTATTACACTATACTTTAATAAAGTCATTACTCAAATTGTAGACTGCAAAATACAGTCAAGCAGAAAGAAACAAACTAATGAACAGTTTTATGTATTACCAGGAAATCTACAGTATTTCTGGCATGCTTTAAACAGATAAAAAATTCTGGAGATATCGAGCACTCCATGTTGAAGTCAGCAAACCAAAAATAATGAGATTCTTTCTTATGCTAAGTTGATAAAAGCTTTCTTTACTGGTTAATGCAATTCCACCCCAGGGTAGTGAATAACATTTACTAAGGTAACATAATTTATCCAGGCAATTTATTTTTTGCTTACTTGGAAGTATATGCCATATATCTGAATAAAGCTCTTGCTAGCAAAAGTCAACGTATAAAAATAGCAAATTTCTCTTTTTCTTTTTTTATGGGTTAAGTAGAAGGCAAGAAATAAGGGGGGAAAAGATCCACTTCTGAGCAACGAGAGTTGTGTGAAAGTGTAGTTATCAATAGCCAATGAATTTCATCCCTAAGTTGTGTAGAACAGGAAAATAAAAGTATGTTCACTTTTCTCCATATGTGTAAATTAATCTCAGTTCTGCATCATACACTTCTTAAACTCTGTACAGATGCCTGTGACAGTTACCTTTATGTAGACTTTGTAAAACACAACCACACACAATAATGCAGAAATACCACACAAATTGCATTTTTCCTGATGAAAGGTACCTGTAGTACTGGCTAATTAATTGTCAAAAATTTCCTGGTGTTATAATATCTGACATCTGTACCTGACATTTTAGGGGACATCTCTCTAGCTTGTTACTGAAATGGAACAGGATGTAACTGTCTAACACAAATAAACAGATCTTACTTAATCAGCAGAAGTGTCGTTATCCATCCAATATTTTTTTCACTTTCTGTATTAACAATACTACATACACTGAACCCAAATCTTCTGACTTCCTCCATAGCAGCAATTAATCTTGTGAGTAGCCTGGCACATGGTTTCCCTTAGTTCTTCAGTGTTGCACAGGAATTACATACAGAGGGTAAAATTATTTGGCTGAGTGGAGTGCAACCATTCCTGTCTTCTGCAGAACAGGTCTCAGCTCTCACCTAACACACAAGACTGCTTCAGGTTTGGGCTGAACACAATCCAAGACCTGGGTAGGGACTCTAGATTTGCACTGATATTAACCCACTGCCCCCAGTGCATTGTAAAATAGGGATATGGCCTGAATTGAGTGTGTATGGAATTTCACTCATTCAAACTCTCCACACTCTACCCAAACAGAGCCTGCACATTCAAGCTCCATATGGGTAATTTCCACTTTAGGGAGTAAGTTATTACTAGGGACCTATCTAAACTGAGGTGGAAGTTTCGGGGCAGAGGGTGCTTTAATCTTGCTCTTTTTGCCACGCACCCCCACCCTCCCAGCCACTGAGTGCCTGAGAGGCAAAAACCATGGTATTAATTGCCTCTCAGTCACTCAGCAGCAGGGAGGAAGAGGTAAGGCAAACAGCAAAAAGAGTAAGATTAAAGGCATTGATACACAGCAAACTTCTGCCGCCATTCAGGTAGGTCTCTAGTTATTATGGGTCAAGCAGGAGTCCTGTTTGGAGAACGTAAGAAACAATGTATTTGTGATGAATGTAGGACTAAGATTCTTCTTTTTTTAACGTCTTTGATTAATTATAATACAAAACATGATGAGGGTAGCAGTTGGATCTAGACCACTGCATGGACATGCATGTCAACAAGAGAATATAAACTGTTAATCATTTATACTTTGTTTATACATAAAAGGCCAAATTCTTTGTTTCTTCCTTAGTTTTTACTTGGTCTGAAAGTCCTTTTAAAATCCATAGGAGTTTGCCTTAGCAAGGAGCAAGTGAAAGCCAAATAAAGACTTTAAGACATGGCCCATAATACCTAAACTTTATAACAATATTAAATCAAGTACCTGTTCAAAAGTAGATGACAGTGGCTTTCCACTCCCTCTGGAGCTGGACCGTGAGGAGTTTTTAGCTGAAGTCATCTCCCTTTTGCACCTGGCTATTTCCTTCCTGAGTTTCTCTCTTCGTTGCTGATCTGAAACTGATGAAAGAAAAAACTGAATAAAATTAGTGAGATTCAAACAGAACTGTACTGGTCTCTTCATTCTAAATGCATCTAGAGACTTAGAAAAGTAAAATGTTGCATTGGGTTCCAGTTTGACTAGAATAATCATGAAAAATTTCTAATTGTCAAAATATCAAGAATGATGTTGTGACTGAACAGCCAGGATTTAGATTCTCTTTCATTTAGCATTCTTTAGTTCTACAGCTAACACAAGACTACATTGGAATTGGAGGATCCAGACTAACATGACATAAGTATGTTCCCTTTTGATTTAGTCTTGGATGAATAACTGTATTGAAACTTTTGGCAAAAAACAGCATTCTTAAATAAGAAGTATGTATGTATGTTAAATGCCAGTTAATTTATATGTACAAAGGAAATGGAGGAAGTTCCTCATCCTCCAAATCCTACTTTTTCCACAACTGGACTCTGAATGTTCTCCAAAATGGCCACACAAAGGCGCTGCAAAACTACATTACATGCCAGAACCAAGAACAACTTAGGCAGGGGCTGTATGTCAGTCACTCCTCAGTCACAAGGGAAGAGTCATGTAACCATACAGTCCTTGGCCCAAGATCCCATCCTAAATGTTTCTCTATCATGCAAGGCAGCTATGCCATCAGCCTATGGGAAATGAGGCCCAAAAAAATGCAGTCACATTTGCTTTGCACTTCTGCCAAACATGAGTTTTCTGCAGCTACACAGATCTATCATCTGCAACAATATGGGCTCTTATTTCTGAGGTTATAACAGTTTTCATTTGTATTCCAGGTGCACAGAGGCATGTTAGGCTCTGAAGGATGATCTGATCCATAAAGCAGCAAAACAAACTGAAGGCAGACTGAAAACATGCACATTTCTAAATGAGAATAAAGAAGCTCAAAAGAAATAAGGGCAATTTTACAGTTTATGCAAATAGGACCATTATATGTTATTTAACCCACTGACTGTACAGTCTGCCTGATGCAGAAACAGCATCTCTGGGCACAGACGGCCTTTGTTAATCCCTGTTTCATTTGCCCACCGTGAATTTCACTCATACTCTACTATGCCCCAATTCTACACTAACTAACTGACATGATAGTCTTAATTTTACATATATGAATATCAGTAATCTTGGGAATGTGGTGGCACTGACACTTCTATTCTTGGTTCTTGCAAAAGAAACACAGTGATCTGAGGGACAGATATCAGGTCTTTCATTGCCCTTTAAAATGTATTCTTCTGTACATGTTAATCTTATAGACAGGTTATATAAATGACTTGGAGAAACATTTTTCATGTAAAAATTATTATAATTTTGCAAAATTTAGTCCAATATTGGGCCAGCATTGGTACTTCCATACGTAATGTGCTGATCCTAGCAGTCTTTCCTGCCCAAGTGCAGGGGGGCTGGACCCAATGATCTGTAAGGACCCTTCCAACCCCTAACAACTATGAAACTATGAAAGTAATTGCCTTCACAGCTGTTGATTATTTCAGCATATTCTGTTAGAGTGCCTTATATTATCTCTTGGCTTTTTTACTGAGAATTTCATCCTACGAAGACTGCCAGCTAAAGATAAGCTATGCTAAATATTATAAATCAGAACTAAAATTAGTGGTTGTAACAGAAGTAAAAGTACATATACATTAAATTAATTAACACTCCATGTTAGTCTTGCTACATTTAATTCTCATTACACGGCTAGCTACTCAAATGTACTTTCTGACTACACTGGTCCTAACATTCATAGTAAGCATACTTAAAAGATAACTACAGGTCCTAAGAAGCCAGTACAGCAAAAATGATAGTTTCCATATGCCTGAGCCACAAAACCACTCAGTTTATACTCATTTAATGGACATGGAAGCAGCCAAAGTGCATTCTCTGCTTCTCAGATAAGTAAAGATCAACATGAGCATTACATAAATGACTGAAGATATAGACACACACAGAATGACAGGATACAACCTGCAAATGCAAAGTCTATAGATACAGTTCAGCTTCTAGAAGTGGCTGAAGCCCCTATATCTTTTATGAAGTTTAACCAAATGTGACTCCAAGGTAAACCGACTTTCCTTTCCCATTACTTGCATCTTAGGGAATACTTTCCATGGATTCTTTTCTGTCTGTATAATACTTATTGACCTTGACTCTGCAATGGCTGTTCCTTTGGTATGGGTGAAACAGGGTAGCAAGCAGATGGATGCAAGGTAGAGGACTCCTGAGGCACCCTTGTGCTGCCTCTACCTAAAGAGAAACACATAGTAATACAGAGGTGTCTGAACCCCAACTCTTGGGTGTGATACCAAGTGGAGTAATAATCTAGTCTGGGGACTCCAGTCATTAAAGTGTGGGTTTATCTGGACAATAAGTGAGGATGAGCTCTGAGCCTTAGAGTAAGACACTGAGCAGTCCTACTAGTGACTGCAGTTGCTGTAGTGGAAGGCACTAACCACCATTTTCAAAAGATCATGAACAAAGACATCTAATGCTGGAGCTGTGAACACATTCAAAACAGCAAGCATTGGACAGACTGTGGCAGGGCACTGTGGGTGCCTGCCACTTTAAAGGCCTGAAGCTAGCAGCCGGCAGGTGCCTGATGAGGGCAGCCATTTTGGATCTAGGGCTGCCCATATAAACAGGGTATTTTGCTGCTGGAAGGCCAGGCAACATCATCACCTGGCTGAAAGGCCTCTGGTATCCTCCTGGAGGTAAGGGAGGAGCTGTAGGGGATGGATAGGAGGCCCCTGGTCCTGGGCATGACCTAAAACTGCACCCTGCCGGGAGTGGGTGGCCTGGTGGGGCTCTCAGGGGCGCGGGAGCCCCCAGGAAATGCCAGGCCAGTTACTGCCCTGGTGAAAGGCGGGTCGGGGTGCCTTAACCCCAGCTCCCACCTTCGGGTGGGTTAGGACATCGGAGGTAGAGGGGGGCAGGCACAGCTACGGCCACCTGAGCCCACCCGAGGAGGATCTCAGAGTAACACCATGACTCGCTGCTCGGGGGGGGGAGTCCCCTGTGAGTCCCTGGAGCACCAGTCATGGTGTGAGTCACCCCATCTCCCCACATCCAGGAAGGGAGACCCGGAGAGTGTGTGGGGCTAGTGAGGCCAGGGGTAGAGTGCCCCCTGGACTGGTCCATGCTGGGGCCAGGAACAAGCAGGTAAAAAGGGTCAGGTGCCCACTGCAAGGGGCACCCAGAGTTGTGGGCCTGGGACCCCCTCTGGCCTTGGAGGTGAGGCCAGGGCCTGTGTATGGTCGAAGGTCCCGAGTAGGGACCACACCCAAGAGGGGAGCCAGCTACAAGGAGCTTAGCAGCCCGAATGAAGGTGGCATAAGGTGCCTGAGTCAAGGGATCAAAGGAGGGTCCGGCCAGGAGGATTCTGGAGCCTAGTGGGGTCTGATATGACTGATAACATCTGGATACCATCTGTGAGGCTTAGGCCATGGTGTAGGGGTGGTACAGAGCTGTGGACACCCCCCTAATATTGGGGTGCAAAGAAAAATGGGCAGCCTCCTGCCTTATTTAACAACTCATTAATTTTCCAACAAGGCGTGGCAGACGAGACAGGCAGGCGGCATGCCCAGAGGCAGGTGGGAGGCCAGCAACGGCTAGCCTGAGTGAAACCCACTTCGCCATATAGATATTAAGAAAGAAATTTGTTATCTTACAGGGGAGAAACTTATACATTAATTAAATACACAAAGGTAAGCTTTCTCACCTCTTTCTGTCCTCAATGCATGTTAGATCAAATTAATCCCTGATGTAGCCCAATTTCAGCGAGGTTACAGCAGTAATTAATTTGGCTCTGTGTACTCTTATTATCATGACAAGGAATAAAAGTTCCTAACTACTAGCAGAATAATTCGATTGAAAGAAGATACACCCCTACCTAATTTGTTAAAAGGCACCATAAAGCTGTAATTACAAATAACCTCAATTCTAGACTCCCCAAACTAGATAGTAATGTTGAACAAGCAAATGTCAAGATGATTTTCGCATTTTGTTGCAAAAAAATCACTGTTCATGTCATCGCTCCTAAAAATAGCAGTTTTTAGTATTTAAGAGTATAAAATGTATACAAGATCCAAATGACAAGATTTCATTAGTTGAGTCTAAGATCTGTGTCTCATCAATTACGCTCTTCATTATAAGGCTTTGTTATAGAAATGATATGTTGTACTGTAAGCAAAGTACTAATGTCTGTGTACCAGATGCATTTAAAGCCTGTGAAATCTAAATTCCATAATCTAGTCCACCCACTCTATGAATCTGTTCTGTTAATTCTGCTGGCATTGAAAAGGGGTGTAAGTAGGATTGTAAGAGCTCTTAAAATTGGAATTGTATTCCTTTCCATCCATTACTTTTTAAAAGAATCCTGAGCTACCTATGACATTCTGACATTCATATAATCTTATATAGAAGCAGCATTGTTCACTAGACAAATGTTTTCTTTCTTCAAATAATATTTAGAATACACCAAACAAATCAGATACCCTTTCATTATAATTTTACTTCCCTGTAGTAGTTGGTTCTTCCTTTAAGCCCGAATTTGCAGCAATATTTTAGAAATCTGCCTTGGGACATAAAACATTACTATGATGATTGAGGAGATGATACAATTTGGGGATAATTAAAAATAATATCTCAGATCTATCATGCTCCAAGCTAGTTGGAAGTCAAGTGGTTAGAAAGACAATATGAATTTAGAATTGCCTAGTGTAAATGATTGCCCTTTCCTCTGAGTTTTTGGATCTCTACATTCACTATACACAACTGGATACAATTTGCAGTGCTAAACAATTCCCAAGTCATTTTTGTTTTTTCAACATAACCCAATCATATCCACCTGAAAACAACTGCACAAAGAATGCCTTTATTGCATTTAGCCAAAAGCAGAATATGTTTCAGAATATAATCTAACACTGAGTAACACTTCACTTTCCCATAAGAATCAACTATTGAGACACCAAAACAATTCTGGGCATTATTTTCCCTTCTGAATTCCAATGACCAAGAACAGATGCCAACCTCAGTCCTAATGAGCTGTCAGTGACCATGATTTAAAATATTCGGAACATCACAGGATGAAGCGGGTTTTGGAAACAAATGTTTTCTTTTATAACACTGTTCCTTCCCCAAACAGCCTGGTCTCAATTAGTAGGAAGTCAAACCACACCACAACTTAATTGTGTGGTATGAACTCCTGGCCTCACTGAAATCAACACAACTTGTGCAGTGACTGTAATAGAAATGGCCACTCACATGTGCTGCCCCGCTTTTTTCTGCCGTGGGAGATCCTGGTGCCAAAAAACCTACCACACTGCAAATGAGCAGCACAGCAGAAGTGCATATGTGCAGACAGGTCTGCAGAGTCACAAACTGCATGTGCACACTTGTCTGGATACACTCTATGGCTGTGTCCACATGTGGTGTGGATGTTTGGTTCTCTGGGGACAACTAGCAGCAGTACATCTTGTACCACTGCTAGTTGTCCCCCAGGAACACCTGTGTTATACATGCTCTCGCATATGGCAAATTACCCCCGGAGGTGGTAGGGGAGGCTGGGGCCAGCACTGGGCTGGCCCCAGCAGCCTTACCTGAAGTCCTGGGGACCTCCTGGGGCTGCAGCAGCGAGGACTGTGCTGCGCGGAGCCTGGCCAGCAGCCACTGCATGACTCCAGCCTGCTTGGCTCCATTTTTGAGTGGCATGCACTGCCCATGCATGCGCTGCTCTGCATTGTTTCACCACAAGTTTTTTTGACCCCTGGATATCCAGAGGTCAGAGAAAAACCCTCCATACTACTCCCCTGCAATACACAGAGCAGTTGAACACGTAGTATGGGGCACCACAGATGTGTCCATGGCAACACATGCTGCACAGCTGCACTCATCTGGACATGGCCTATAAGCGCAACTACTCCCATTGTTTGGATTTTTTACTTCATCAGGAGGAGAAAAGGATTTGACTGTTTTAACACTCCCAAAGATCTTCTTAAAAAGTTCATGATTTGCCACTGTTCTATAAAATAAGAAATTACAAGTGTGTACACAGCAAAATTTTTGCTAAAAACATTTATTGTGGTTGCATGTTTGAATTATATATAATATTCTTTTTTAACTAACTGTACACCAAACTCTTCACCAAGTGCAAGTTCTCTGATAGTTTAAAGTAAAAGATGCTTCAAGTGCTAATCATGCCATTGATTAACTCAAGCTCATTTAATTTCTTCTTGCAATTTCTTCTCTTCTTCCTTCCGTTGTGCCTCAGTACAATTTCCTTTTAACATTTGGCTACTTCTCGATTTTCCTGTTGTTCTTCAGCCAAATTCTGTGTTGAATTTGCAAAAAAATGTGTGCTGAAAATCTTGAAATCATCAGGAAAGCAAACAGAACATATCCGTTCTGCCTCAAAATTTGGCCCAGTTTGTAGCAGCTTTTTGACTCTTATACCTCATAATACATCTGTTCAAGATGTTTAAAGTCGTTTGCTTCAAAATATTTCCACAGAATCCTAGGACAAAACTGGGATTAAAATATAATAAAAGAGCCCACTTACCTTTTGAAATCACTTGTTGAACTTAGAGTAGCTTCAGAAGGGCATTCAAAAGCATCATGTGAACAGACATAAGGAGGTGAATTTTGAAATCATGAAAGGTATAAAATTAGCATGTGATCTTGAGGGGGTATATTATAATTACAAACTTCACTGGATTTCACACCCATTTTTTTTGTGCAAACACCTTCTATGTTTGGTAATGTTCCTTGATCCTTGGTCAGTATAATTTGCATTTTCAGGTTGTCAAATTATTTCACTCTTGACATTGCAACAGATAGCTGGTTATGTCCAAACACAGACTGCAGTAGGTAAATACCTACTCAGTCAAATGTTTGATCTTGGCTTTTTTTGATAGTCATTAGAAAAGCTACTCTGATAGCAAATTTCCTCTTGAGTATCTTAAAAGGTAGAGCTATGTCCAATGAGTGTACTGTAACTCCTGGCAAAAGAGTATGTTTTCCAAATAGCCTCTTCTAAGTCTACAGTGTTATTGTAAAGTCTTTTTACAATAAGTCTTATGCCTTTGATTAAACCAGATTTCACAATCAATCCCACCTTAAGTGTGAGCCTGTGGGGAGACAAATTGCTCAATGACAAAATTGTTGAGAAACTTGATCAGATTTTGCATATCTTTGTTACCATGTTCATTATTGACTTTAGGCTTAAGTATACTCACCCTTCTCCAATAGTTCTGGCAATTGTGTCCTCACTCATAGCACTGAAGTGTTTGCTTTTGGGGCAAAGAATCACAGCTTTGCATGAAGCCTCACAGGGGACTGAAGCCCAGCACTGCCTGCCAGGATGAAGTATTCACAGGTGGCATGGGCACATGCACATGCACCATATTGCATGATACGTTTTCTATTAATTTATCACACTTCTTTGTCAGACTTCGTTCCATAATTTGAATTTTGTGCAAATCTGCACTCTATAAGCTTTAAAATGACATATAATCCAGTAAGCATAAATACCTTAAATAAAGCATTCTTAGTTCATCCAGTCCAGGGGTCAGCAAAGTTTCTGGCCAGAGCACCAAAAACACCGCAACCTCCAACCTCCACCTTGACTTGGCATGCTAGAGGTAGGGGAGCTGTGAGGGGCCTGATCCTCAATGCTGGCGGCAGCTGCAGGTGTCCCTCTGGGTGGACTGTGGGGGAAGCGCCAGGGTTGTGTTGCCCTGGCCCTTTCCCTGCCATGCGCTCCAAGGCATATGTACACCCGCCGCTACCACAGAGCTAGTGCCGGGGCTCTGGACCCCAGTGCAGCTGTTTGCAGACTGCCTAATATAGCTGCCCAGAGCCCAGGTGGAAAGGGACCAAGGGCAGCACAAGCCTATCTCCTCCCCTACTGTCTGCCTAGAGATACATGTGCAGCGGCCGCCACCATGGAGCCAGTGACAGGGCTGCAGAGCCCCATGCAGCTGTTTGCAACCTCCTGGCTGCCTGCAGGCAGGGAGGGAGCCCGATTGTGCTTTACTGGCTCCATGAAGGGGGACACCAGGCCAAGTGGGGGGAGTGGAAGGACCAACCTGTTCTCCCTCCCAGAAGCCAGTCCCCCCCAAGGAGAATGGCCAGGACTAGGGCTGCTGATCTCTGCAGCAGGAGGTGGGTAGGCTGCAAACAGCTGCAGGGGGCTCCACAACCCCAGGACTGGCTCCATGACAGCAGCCATTGCATACACACCTCTGGGCAGATGGCAGGGGAAGGGGCAAAGTTTGCATTGCCCAAGGTCCCATCTTGGTTGTGTGCCCAGAGGTGCGCGTGCAGCTGCCACTGCCATGGAGCTGATGCTAGGGCTGTGGAGTTCCGTGCAGCTGTTTGCAGCCTCCCAGGTGTCTCCTATGGAGCATAGGCTGCTTGCAGTAGGGTTTGCAGCCTCCTGGCTGCCTGCTGCAAGCTACCCTGGCTGTGGCCAGTGGCAGCTGCCCAGAGACCAGACCAGCTGTGGTGTGCTGAAGAAAATGGCCTGGCATGCCATGCCCTGGCACGCGGGCTGGGGGTTGCTAATCCCTGAATCAAGAGAGAAGAACTGCAAAAATTATTCAGGGGCAGGAAAAATACCTTACAGTGAATTTCACTCAGTTTACCTTATCATAGAGTAAGAGGTGATTGATTACAGTGTACGTACCTTCCCAGGGACAAAACCCCAGGTACAAAATGGCTGTTTAACCTACTGGAAAAAGTCATAACAAAAACTACTGATTTGAAGTTAAGGGCTGACAAATTCAATTAAAAGCGAGACACAGTTTTTTAACAATAATGTTGAGCAACCATTAAAAAACCTTGGAGAATGATGGAACTTTTACTTCTTGATGTCCTCTTATCAAGACTGGATGATTTTCTGCAAGGCATACTTTAGTCAAACACAAATTACTGGCTTGAATACAATGATAAGCAGGTGAAATTCCTGGCCTGTGTATCACAAGAACTCAGATTACATGATCTGGTTGTGCCTTCTGACCTTAAAATCTAGGGGAAAATACTGCATGTTGTACTTTAATAAATTTCTTTTTCTTTTATAAAGGGAAAAATGTGCATCTACTGAAGAATAGAAAATATGCATACTGTAGCTGGAGCAAAAGTAAGATAGTTAGAACTGCATCAGTATCTTGGTTAAAAGGACTTATTTCAGTTTCTTTACATTTTTACATTTGACAGGTTTTCAGTCTGGGGGTTACTTTTTTGGAAAACCTGACAAAATGATTTTAACATTTTTGAGTACAAAAAAGTTAAAAATATACATAGCTTTTAACAGCAACAGTGATCCATCAGGAGAGAATAGATATTTGAAAACTTGCCATTTCAAATAAATATTAAAAAAGAGTTGTTATTATTCCAATAATAAAACACACGTGTATGTAAGGAAACCCTACTCATTAAAAATGTAGGAGTGCATATAATGAAGTGGGACTCTGAAGGGGAAGACAGCGTGCAGGCTTTCTGCATAGAAGCAGTTAAACTGACTTATGTTTGATACTAACTAAGAAAATCAGACATAATACCATGTATCATATGTATACCAGAGTAATGTGTTTTATGACATGGAGGTGATGGCTGAAAAATCAGGCCTAAAATAAAAATAAATAGATAAATAAGTAAATAAAAGTCCTTTTTCTTGCTTGGATATAGTAGATAAAAATAAACAGTTAGCCTACACCTATATTATTATTCTTTTTTTTTTTCCTAACACCTTCTAAGTTTAATTATGTCTCTAGTAATGGCGGGTTCAGACTTGATATTCCTCCACTACATGCTATGCACCAGATTTCTGGTGGGCAACTTCTCAAGAATGCATTTTTTTCCCTTAGCAAGAGACCTGCATTTTCAATCACTCTAATCACTAAGTTCAGGCTGTTCTATCAATATGCTCTGCGGAAAAACCTTGAAACAGATGGGTTGAAAACATTACTATTAGAAGCCAGGCATGTGTAGCAGAAGCCATCTCTTTTGGCATGGCTGTTAAGTTTTCTGGCACAAAAGCTATGACCATCGACTTGTAATAGTAGCCGCTTGTATCATTCAACATGCTTCGTGTAATTCTGAACATAGAAGTTTCATATTTCAAGAAGTTTCACATTTTAACAACTATTTTAAGTCAATAAGGCTGATCTAATACATAAGAACATGCTTGTTGCTGGCCCAGAGGCATGACAGCTTGCTGGCCTTGCTGCCAGCTAAGATACCAGGAAAAGAACAGTGGAAACCAAATCCACTTTAAAAGCAGAACACATTCAGTTGTTCAGAGAGAATGCCAGCTACAGATAGTATTGTGCTATTGCTTAAGAACTAATGACTGACTCATGGCAACAGCCCCAAAGGGGATACTTGCTGGGCATCTGAGCAGGATAAGGCACCTACTTTCAAGGGATTCTCTTCGCAATTCTTTGTTGTTAGTAGGAGCCATATTGATAAATCTCATGCAGCATATTGAAAATGTACTGCTTTGAGGACACTGGGTGTAAAGGAAGGAGAAGATTTTAGAATAGAATGGGACATAAATTCAGCATCTGAAAAAATGTTTTTAGACAGTTTACAAACACTAAAAAGGTCATTTAAATGATGGTAAATACAGATCATGGTAGTGCAGACAAAATGTTTTCATAATCAGGAAACAATAATGTGTAATATAAAAAGAAAAAAATAGTAATTTGGTACGACTCAACAGAAGCAATGAACTATACTTCACGTTCTCTAACTCACACATGCAAATATAATCGGGAGATTAATTCAAGACAGTCTTTTCATATTTGCTTTTGGAACACACTTCCACTATTCACAATGTGTGTGCTGTCTGGCACGAAAACACCATCCTTCTTAAAGGTAAAAAATGCCTGAAATTTCTCTTAAGAACAATAGTTTTCACTTCATATACAGACAGAATTCAACAGAATTTGAATATTGTACAAAGGAAATCTAAAAATGTTAACCTTAATTAGCTTGAATGCACTAGAGTGGACGATGATGAAAGGGAACACACATGTCCAGTGGAATTATACCTTTGGTAAACCTTGAAATTTCAGCCCCGATGGGTTTCATGTTTATTAAATAAGTGCCTTGAGTCAGACATACTAAAGAGGTACATATGTGATTTGAATACACAAATTTATTAGGCTGATTTTTGAGTATGAAAGGAGGTCTTAAGTAAAATTCTAGCTGAGTTGTAGTTGAGTACATTTTTGCCATTGACTTCAATGAAGCCTCTATTTTACATACGGCTTAAAAGGCAATTGCTTTATATTTCATTGTCCACAACTAGCCATATAAAGCTGGTATGATTACGTTACTCACCAACTGCTGAATGTAGTCCTTCTGGAGTTCTATTGCCACAAATTTCTGGTGAGAGCTTAGCACCACTGAAATCAATGGAATTCCTTCCTTGAGCTTTGCTAGTGTTAAGATCCTGAAATTAGGCTCATCATCTAAGGAATGAAGAGTTGGAAAACACCTACACTACACTAACTTAAATATTCAAGGATTGTCAATACTGCTGAAT